TGGTGACACCATTTACTGAGAGCTTACTACGTGTCGGTAGTACTGCAGGCCTCGTCCATCCCCTGCAGTTATCCTAAGAGCATACGATTACTACCCCCAATTCTGTATATGAAGTGATTGGGGCCAGCGAGGTGGAGATACTTGCTCAAAGTCACACGGCTTGTAAGTGGCAGAGGCCTATTTAAACCTTAGGCAGTTAAACTCCAAAGCTCAGAGTTCTCAATCCCTATCTGATATTTCTTCTCTTCTTAAAGCGACATGTCACTGGATTTGGTTTCCGATAAGTCAGTATTGCAACACTTGCTAAGGCTGGAAGGGATTCCATTTCCCCAAGAAGTAGAGGGGGAAGGAAGGGAAAGACTGCACTGGGGCAGTCTCAGCCTCTTGGCCAAGATCAAGTGTGAAATGTAGTACTCTGAAAGAGGAACCTCAGGCACAGACAGATCAAGGGCCTAAAGCCCAGGGGGAGACAAAGAGCAGGGTCTACATTTTATCTGTGTCTTTTAAATATTAACAAGCACTATTACTGACTAAGCATTTTCAATACCTTACAGGCACTGCCTCAAGTACTTACTCTCAGCCCCATTTCCCAGATGAATAAATTAAGGCTCAAGCCACAGGTTTGTTCCAATCCTAGGATTCAAGGCCCTCTCAATCTCCCAAATAAATAAAGCAAATGTTTACTTTCTTACCTAAAACACGAAGCATTCATTACAGGCCTTGGAGATCATAAATCAATGACCTCACCCTTCCATCTGTAAAAGTCTCCATGGTCTTTCATTCTAGACTTGTGGCAACTCAGTCTCAGTCTGAAGAAAGGGGCATGGCAGGGAACTTGGGAATCTCCCACCATAAGCTATAGACCCCGTGACTGCCCCAGCTGTGGGACCTCTGGCCTGGCCCCTTCTCTCTGAGCTCTATGAACCCAGGCTGTTGATCCACGGCCCTGTGTCCCTCACTGGGTGATCTGAGCATCTACAGAGAGAAGCCATGGTCAGCTGCAAGGGGTGCAAGAGAAGCCTTTGGGATTTAAGAACACTGAAAGCAAGAAGAGAATGCAGTCTGCCCAGGGATGCTGGTAGGCCTCACCCAGGGTTTCAGGCCACCCACAGTCAGCCCCTCTGGGCAAGTGTCTCTCAGAGGACTACTTACATGGCCTCTCTCCCAAAGCCAAGACGGCCCCACCCCAAGTCCTGGCACTGGAAAAGAACTGGTTGGGGAGCAGGTCCTCCTGCAGTGCTCAGTATATCCCCTCTTTTGGACAAGGCTAAGGTGGACTGAATGCTGTCCAAGGGCCCTTCTAAGCCTGGCAGGAGACGGAGCTGCTTGCAATCAAGGTTCAAATCCCAGATTAGCCGCTCATTTGTGGCAAGACCCTGAGCAAGGTCCCTAACCTCTGTGCCTCTGTTCCATCACTCACAAAACAGGGAAGGAGAAGCAGCCTCGCAGAGTTCCTGGGAGAACCCACGTGCTGGCATGCGAAGGCCTCTTCCTACATACACACGGAAACAGTCACGGGTGAAATGATGCAGCGTGTGGAAGGGGGAACAAACGTGGCCACAAGTCCGTCATGGTAGAAGCTGGCTGGAGGGACATGGGGATTTTCTCTTGTTCTCATGTATGTCCTCTTCTGCCTAGCTTTGCCTCGGTTTTCCACAGGAAGATGTTTAAAATACAATGTTCTTCTCAGGGAACCTGATACCTCGGCATATAAAACATTCTTCTGCTCTAACACTTGTCTACTAAATGAGCAACCACGATGCTAGTTCAGGATAAAAATAATTCATTTTTGACCTTCCAGCGCTTTAAATCCAGCTATAGGGAGAAAGCACACTCAGGCACCGTGGGGAGTTCGTGGCACACTCCATTTGGGTAGGAAAGGCCGAAGAACAGTGAGCTTAAAAAGGCTTTCCAGAGAAGACGCTCTCAAGTGAGGGCTTGAAGTTCAGGTAGGCTACAAATGCATTAAAATGATGGGATACCGTGTGTGTACGTGCTCACAATCCAGAGGGGGAAAGGGAGGAGAGGGGACTGTGGTGTGGCCATCCCCTGGGGACGTAATTTCTCACTTTCTCTGTCTCTCTCTCTCTCACCAGCGTATAAGTCCTATAGCAAAAACAAACAAAAAAACAGAGGGATGGCAATGGGGACAGACATTCCAGTTCGTCCCACAAACACATGTGAGGAACACGGGGCTGAAGGTACAAAGTGAGAAGCGTGTCTTCCCTGAAGAGGCTCACGGGCTAGCCCAGCGAGGATGTATTAAATGTTTGCCGTGCACCAGGCAAACAGTGACTGAACTAGACAAAAAGGCTGGCCCCCCCGGAAGCTCACGTCCCGCAGTGATTTCCTGAATTCACCCAGGTGAACGTCATGTGAAGAGGTGACCTAGTACGTGGGGCTCCTTATAAGCCAGGCCACGCGCGAGGTGCTTCATTCCACGTTGTCATTTGATGTCCATGGACTCTCTACAATGATTTGTATGAAAAGGATTGCTAATCACCACCTCCACGTGTGAGGGAATGGAAGCTCAGAGAGGCTGCACGATTCACAAAAGGTCTCGCAGCTGACCCACGGCAGAAGCAGGACTGCAACCCGTGGGAGCTGATTCTAAAGTGGGTGCTCTGCTGATCCCCACGAAGGGTGAAGATGTACCTGGGGGTGAGGGTGCAGGCATCACCGAAATGATGGCACGTGAGCTGGGTCTCACAGGACTGCTAACTGGCATGGTGGGAATGGAGACAAGAAACAGAAAAGAATAGCCTGAGGCTTGAGGAAAATTCATGGCAAATTCGGGGATAAACCAGGACCCCACAGGGAAAGCAGACAACTCAGGATAATGTCGGGGGCCAGACTCTTCTATCGCATGTACCTGAAGTCCTTGAACAGCGGGTTAAAATTTAGGCTTTAATTTTGAAGTATGGGGAAAATGAACTGTCAACTCATCGATGTGGAGGAGCCTTAAACACATACTACTAAATGAAAGAGTCCAATCTGAAAAGGCTACATACTGCACCATTCCAACTATACGACATTCTGGAAATGGCAAAACTATGGTGACAGTCAAAAGCTCAGTGGTTGCCAGGAGCTTGGGGAGGGAAGAACAGGCGGAGCACAGAGGATGGTAGGGCAGGGAAACACTCCCTGTCCAATGCTACAATGATGGATACATATTTTATACATTTGTCCACACTCAAAGAACTTACATCCGGGAGTAAACCCTAATATAAACTAGGGACTCCGCAGTGATATGCTGTATCGGTAGATTCATCGGTTGTAACAAATCCACCCCTCTGGAGAGGGGTAGTAGTAGCGGGAGGCAGAAAGTACAAGGGAATTCTCTGCTTCTTCCTCTGTTTTACTGTGAACCTAAAACTGCATGGGAAAAATAATAGTCTTAAAAATAGATGTATACTTGGGAGCCATGGGAGATATGTGAGCAGGGGCGTGACATCAGACATGTACTCTAAGAGGAGTGATGTGCCACCAGGCCACAGACAAACAGGAAATGATGAAGTCTGGTGAGGCAAAGATCTGTTTGGTAGCAGTGGCAGGATCCTGTTGTGAATGCATGAGGACCAAGACCTGAAGAAGGGAAGAGGAACGGAACGGTCAATCCAATTGATTCTGCCTCAGCCGAGTGTCCATGGGCTACAGCACTCCCTTAGGAGAGAAGGAACTGACGTTGCTCATTCTCTTTCAAGTGACTTTATGTAGTTTCCCTTCATCCGCACACAGCCAACAATTTTCTTTTATTTACATTAAAAAAAAAAAAAAAAAAAAGATTGTGGGCATGGGAGTGAGCACTATGCTTAATCCTAAATTTTAGGGGCAGCAAGTCAATGCTCATTTTATATACAGTGTTATTTCATTCCCAGCCCTCGGAGTTAGGGCCTAGTATCCCCTTGTCACAGATTGAGAAACGAGGCCTAGGTAAACAGAAAGACTTTGGAGTTCTGTCATCTCCTCTCTATACAATGTGCCTTTATTTGTTCAAGGTGCTATAAACACAATTATGAACACCAGCAGGGAGGAGTCCTTGTCTTCAAGGAGCTTGGAGTCCAGTGGTCTGGGATGTCACCCCGTAATCCTGGCTCTTCCAAGTACTCCAACTAGTATAGGTAGGTAGCCAGTCTTCAGCAAAACAGTGAGCTCTCTGGAACTATAGTCTGTGAAACTGTAAAACAAAACCTATGCTCTGTAGAATCCTTGTGAGAAGGAAATGTAATGGTGCAAACAGAAGGCTCGCCAGCGTGCATGGGATCTAGGGGATGCTCCATAAATGATGATGACACAACAACAGTGAGGGGGAAGGCAGCTGTGAACTCTGCAATGTTTTTGTCATGACCTCAATTCCAAGCCTGAGCCCCTATATGCAAGGCTGCTTCTGACTCAAGCCAGTATTCCTTCTGTTATTCCAGAGAGAAAGGAAAAGGGTGACTCATAGCATGGTACAACAGAGCTTCTGGCTGGCCTGCACCAGCTGGGGAGGGGAGGGCCCCAAGGTGAGGGGCCCAGCTGCTGGTCCTCAGCCTTTTCAGGGTTCCATAGGCATTGGACCATTAGCACCAGAAAGGGAACCGGTGAAGCACAACCTCCCGCCTCTAGGAGACATGTGGCCTTCTGGGCTCAGGCAAAGTTACTCCCCCTGGGCTCACTCAGGGAAGGGGTAAACAGGCACCATTTTCAACTTGCACCTGCAAGGCTTCAACTTTGACTTGGAAAAGAAGCTGGTTCTAACTTCAAGGGCTGTGCAGTTAGCAATATTCCAGACCTAGCAAGTGGACACAGGATGTCAAGCCATTTTCCCAATTCTCCATGTGAGAGGGGCCCCTTCTGAGTGCTCAGATCCAGCTTTAGAACGATGAGGGGACAAGATACCAAGTGCAAAAAGGACCAGGGTCACAACCATGGCCCTTCACAGAACAGAACCACAAATGGCCCATGACCACATGGGGGTGGGGGGTGCGACTTCAGCATCATAACTAATCAAATCAATGCACATTAAAACAATAAGGGTGACAGAATTTATTGATGAACAGGCTGGTAAAAATGAAAAACGATACAAATACCAAGAGTTATCTGGATATGGAGAACCAGGCGTTCCCACACGATGCTGGTAAGTGTGTAAATTAGCACACTATTTCTAGAAGGCAATCCAGAAATGTGTTTACCAAACGCCTGCACAGTTCCTTTGACGGAGTAATTTCACTTCTAGGAATTTAAAGGAAGGAAAGAACACATAAGCACAAAGATATTCATTTTAGCATTGCTTCTAAAAGAAACAAAATTATAAACAACTTAAATGAGTAACAGTAAAGAGTTGATTAGATACATTTTAGTTCAACCCTCCATAAAATAACGTACAATCATTAAAATATTAAGTATTACTTATTGATGTGGAGAGACAGTTGTGGCATATTCTTTGAAGGAGAAAAAAAAAAAGTAACCAAACTGTGATTCCAGGATAAAAATTAATATATATAGAATGACTCCATTTTTGGAAAAAAAAAAAAAAAGGATGGGATCTATTTGAACAGGAAAGACAAGTCTGGACGTATATATGAAAATGAATAAGGATTATCTTTGGATATTACATACTTTTAATTTTTTTCTTTATACTTGGCAGTGTTTTCAACCACCCTATAATTAAATACTTTAAAAATGATAAGGGCTGGACAGCTGATTTACAAAGTTCCTGCCAACTCTGGCATTTGGTGCATCAATGACTGATGCCTCAAAGTGACTTCAAACAGCCCATATTTAGCGTGGACTTACTGCGTGGCCTAAGCCTTTGCCCACAGCTGCAACCCTTGCATTCCTCTCTCCCCACACCCATTGCCCTGCTGCCCCCCTGCCACCCTGGGAGCGTTTGCTTGGCAGGGCCCGGCTGAACCCTGTAATCCATGTGCCTAACCAAGAGCTGAGCAAAGGGACACAGCTCAGAACATGCTGACAGGTGCCAGGCAGGCACAAGGAGAAAAAGCACCTCTAGTTCTGGGATCTCACTGGGCTTGGGACTCACACACACAAAGTGGCTGCTTGTAGGACACAGACTAGAAACCAAAGGACAGGGCGCAGGCACGCCCAGCAGGGCAGGCCTACTAGAGGAGAGGGCCATGCAGGATGGGGGTGGGGGAGAGGGCGCGCCAGGCAAGGGGCACAGCCTGAGCAAAGGTGAAACCAACCCAGAGTCCTTTGGGAGATAGTCCTCAGATCTTTCCAAGAAACTTTCACAATCCTGTTCTGCTCAATTTCTGTACTTTGGCCCCAATGGGTAAAAGTTAAGTCTCCTATACAGACGCCCTCCCTCTAATCTAGCCCTAGGTTAGCCACCAAACGCTACACAAACCTTTTGGACAAAGACAATGGGTTACTGTTTTACCCACTTTCCCAATCGCTCCCCAAGGGAGAAATGGAGGAGGGAAGGAGGGCCAGGGAAGGACTGAGGGAGAAGAGGGGGTTGCAGAAACACCCAGACATCTCACATGCAATCACTGCTCACCCCCACCACTGCGCCAGGTCCTCTCGGAGGCACCACCGGCCCCATTTGACAGAAGGAGGAAAAGAGGCTCGGAGAGTTAAAATGGCTTGCTCCGGGGTCACCCAGCCAGAGAGTGGGGAAGGTGACTCCACTCAGGCCTTCTGACTCCAAGTCCAGTGCTATTTCGAGGTAACACACAGGACCTGGAGTCAGGAGCCCTGGGTGGCTCTGTCACCCACTGGCTGCATGGTCCTGTCCAAGCCGCTTACCCCTCGCAGCCTCTTTACCCAACTGTAAAATGAGGAGGCCGGAATCGGCCCGCCCAGGCCCGCCCAGGTCCTCTTCGGGCTGGGCTGTTTGAGCCTTCTAGGGGCGGCTGCGAAGCTCATCCTATCAATTACATTTCCCAAGTTGGGCCGGCAAAGATCACCAGAAGATCCTTGGCCTGTCACGTGGTTCAATAAAAAAAAAAAGGCAAATGTCCCAGATTAACTTTCACTGCACTGCTTCTGCTGACACCTGATTACCCAATTTTCTAGTATCCCGGGGTGAAATATCCCAGCTGGATAGGCTAACGGGGCAAAAACTTCACCGCTGGCGCTGAAGATAGATTTAAAACCCAGGGTCAGGTCCAGAGCTGACAATTCTTGCTATGGGCTGCAGGTTCTCTCGAGATTTCAGGTCTCCCTGACTAGCGTCTTAGTCTTGGATGACAAGTGCAGATCTGGTGACAGTATCTTCCCAGCAGCAACTCTGCCCCTCTCCCGCAGCCAGCCCCCTACCCCGAGGTGGCCGCTGGGCAGGTGCAGAGCCTGGCACCCGCCTTCGGCGCAGACACCGGCGCCGGGCGTATGACGGAGCCCGGCGACGGCGGCGGGAGCTCCACCGCAGTTTCGTCAGAGGTAAAGGTACGCGCCTGGCGCGCGCGGCGTGTGCACACACACACACACACACACACACCCGCGCGCGGACCGCTCAT